CAAAATCGCTTAGGCGGTTACAGCGCCAAAAAAGAAGAAGAAGAAGATATCACCACCCTTTATACCCATTCTTACTAACAGCATCGGCACGCAGACACAACATCGCAACGCAACGCGTATAATTTTACAACAAATTGCACAGTGTTCGCTTTCAACGCCTACAATGAATATTAAATTTGTAATTAATAATTTAGTTGTTCCATCGAATTCATCCAACTACGTACTTACATATGTATATTAGGGTGGTCCAAAACGTAAAGTGGGGAATTTTAATGCTCTCACCCTCTAAGATTGTTCTACAACGGAAAAAATATACCCAATTTTTTTTTTATTTTGAAATAAAAAAATATTTAGAGGCTGCTCAAAGCGCTCAAAGTTTTCCATATATTTTATATTAGAAAAAACAACTTTACGTAGAAATGATATAAAATTCTTAAAAATCAATATTTTTCGATCGGACAACTCTGGTTCTCTTTAAGAGACATACAATTATAATCCCCAAAATTATTACTATTATTATGGAGAATCTCCTGAAGATAAACAGGATTTTCCGATCGAAAAATATTATGGGTAATCATGGAAACGCGTAAATGCCTCGTAACCGCGTAAGTTTCGTAAATAAATCGATTTTCCATAAAAAATTAAGTAAATTTTCTAGGTTTACATGGTTACGAGGCATATAAGCGTTTCCATGAATTGTCCTATTTATTTTCAAGAATTATATACCATTTCTACGAAAAAATGTTTTTTTCCCATATAAAATACATGGAAAACCGTGTGCGACCTCTAAAAATTTTTTGGTTTAAAAAAAAAATAAAAGTAGGAGTATAATGTTTTCGGCATAGGACAATCCTAGGGGGTGAGAGGCATAAATATTCCAATTTTACTTTTTCACATGCATTTTTGGACCAAACCTACACCCTAATGTACATAGATACAAAAACCCGTTGATGGAGTTTACGTATTTATGTGTGTACGGAAATACGCACAATAATAGATATGTAGGAATTAATCGGGCACACGACCGCCAAAGAAGGGCAAAAGTGTGTGATTTGTTCATACGTTCTAAATGCGTAACCACTTCTTCTTCTTACTTATTTATACATGGCGCCATACCGGTAGTATTTACACGCTTCCGACCAGCTTTTCGCCGCCGGCTTTGAACAGCTCAGCCGGTACACCGTCGGCGGGGATGGTGTTGTTCTTTAGTCGCCTTATTGCTGTTCTGGTCGAGTGGAGAGACGTGAGCTTCGTCCCTAAACATTGGTTCGGGGTTTTCATCACACGCGCCATTCAAAAGCGTTGAGAAGTGTTCCCTCATATCGCAATTATACTCCAACATCTGGTACCAAATTTCCATTAACGTCTCTACAGCAACTAGCTCCGAACTTGAAACCGTTTTATTGCTGTATTATTTCTTGATAGACATGCCTGTCTGCCAGCCTCTCAAGCTTTTGAATTCACGTCTTTCAGCCTTTCGTTTCTTTTTTGTTTTGAACAGACGTTCGTCTGCTATTTTTTGGGATATTTTTGGCTATCAAAATTGGCGACAGCGACTATCAGAATCCCACTGCTGGTTGCCATATCAGATGTAAAGCGATCATATCAAGGGATCTGCAACATTGGTTAAAGCTGAAAAACTTAGACAATCAATGGCTTCTTAAGCTAGGCGAACACTGCCACCGGTATCTTACAAGAAGAAACACATATAATCTGAAAACCGAATCGGTACCGGTCGTTGATGTCCGACAATGGCGTCTAATCCAAGCATGTTTGTATTTATCAGTATTTCTCGCTCGATCTAAACTGAAAAGATCAAGCTCTTATAATGCTTTCCAGCATCAGAAAGCGTTAAAAAAGCTGTCAATCTGAATCGCAGCGGCACCGCATACAGCAAAAGCACGATGATGCTGGCGTATACAGCTGATATTGACATCGTTGGCCTGAAACACAGGGACGACAGCACAGCATTTTGCAGCTTAGAAATGGAAGCTAACGCGGTTGGTCTAGCGGTGAACGAGGGCAAGACAAAGTACCTCCTGGCAAACACATAAAAAGTCTTCGCGTATTTGGACACACGTCACTGTTGGCAATCATAACTTTCAAGTAGTAAAGGACAATGCCACCAATAATGTCAGTCTAGAGATAAAGCGAATAAGAGCTCTTGCCAAAAGGTGCTACTTTGCGCTCGGTGGGCAGTTGAAAAGCAGGGCCCTATCCCGACGAACAAAAATCACGCTCTACAAATCTCTCATCAAGTCCGTCCTTTTATAAGGCGCAGAAACATGGATGATGTCTAACAAAGATGCGAAGGCTTTGGGAGCTTTCGAGAGAACTATTCTACGCAAGATCTATGGCCCGTTCGCGTGGGCGACGAGTACCGAAAAAGATGGAATGACGAACTGTACGAGCTTTTTAACAACATGAACATAGTTGAGCGCATAAAAATACAACGATTGCGCTGGTTTGGACATGTTGTACGCATGGATATCGATGCTACGGTGAAGAGATCCTTTGAATTCGCACTTATGGGTGGACAACGAAAGCAGGGGCGCACATGAGCACAATGGAAGGTCAAAGTGCCGAAGGACCTCTCCGCACTTGAGATGAACAACTAGCGCAAATCCGCAAAACAGAGAGAGGCAACTAGCAAACGGTTGTAGCGCCAAATAAGAAGAAGGGTGCAGATCAAGAAATTATCTTCAAAATTACATTTTTAAAGTTTGTCAGTCTATCGGATGCAGTGTGCGAATAGTATTGTAGTATGATTGCTACTTTAACCTAAAAGACGCTATAAGGATGTGAAAGACATACGCCACCGTCATACCATTATTATGGCATGGATTTCTTGTAGTATAACCGATTTGAATTCTCGAAACTTTTATTTTTTTCAATTCATTCGTTTCTTCTAGTTACCTAGGTGTTTCTCACCAATGCCGTGTCTTTAAAGTGAGCATTCGCATGCCGAAAATACTCAAATCTTTTCGGTTGGTTTTGAAATGCTTTAGTTCATTGTTTTAGTTTTTTTATTATTTGGGAAAAAGTTAGTACAGGAGTTAATGTGTTGCTTGGACTCCAACAGTGAGCCCGGACTCACATATTGACGAATCTTTACTGACTGGGTAATAGGTGGAGAAGCCAAGGTTCGTTAACCTGTAGTGAAAACTAAGTTGAAAATTTGACCTTGCCCAGCTCTGTCCGCCTAAACTTATTTACGTATTCTAGGTTTTATGTAACATGGGAGTACTTGGTACCAGATAGCGCTTGACCCGCAATCAACTTTCAGCAAAGCGGAAAATCGCATAAAATTACCTACATATATATATTTTTTTTTACAAATTTGTTTGAAACGTTTGCGAACAAACTGCATTCATTGTACACTGTACATTAGGGCGGGTTGATTTTTTTTTTAAATCGTATAGCAAAAACGTAAACTACATAATATTCTAAGAAAATTCTCCGAAAAAACCATGTATCTAAAATAAAATCCTAATCCGCGCCTCTCGACTTGAAAATTTATATGGCCGCCTTTGCCAAAAAAATAAATAAATGTTAGAAAAATAAGTTTTTCCAAAAAGAAATCGAATTTTCTGAATAAAATTGTTTAGTAAGGTAGTTCTTTTGCACTTTATATTTTTTCTACACTCAAAATTTGTTTTCATTAAAAAAAATATTCACCCAAGTAAGTCGAGAGGCGCGGATTAAGGTTTGATTTTAGACCCATGGTTTCTTCAGAGAATTTTCTTAGACTTTAATGTAGATTACGTTTTTGCTATACGATTTTTAGTTTTTTTTTTCAACCATACAAATCAACCCGCTCTACTGTACATACTCTATATATTGTTTTAGGTATTCCTATTTAACGATTTCGAGGGCATGTCGTCGCGTCTGCTTTCGAAAAATGTTTGCTTTTGCTTTCAAACGTAAAATCAGCGTAGAACACAAACACAACCAACAAATTAAACTTTTATACGCGCAAGTACGCAACACACAACCCAGTGGGAAAAGGTAATTAACGTCTGGTATGAAAAAAAAGTAATGGATAGCCCCTATAACCTACTCACGAAAAGATGCAATAATTTCTCCATAGCGATGTCATACGAAAATAATGTGTATGCGAAACTATAAATCTATAAAGAATCTATAAATAGAATTTAAAGAATAAAAAATAAAGTCCGTGCCACAGGTTTAGAACCCGTGACCAACAACTCGGCGCAGTGGAACACGCATCCCTTCGGCTACAGCAACTGTTGAAATAACAAAAAAAAAAAAAATACTTGAGTTAGTTTTCAAAATTTTTGTTTTGTTTGTGGCTTCAAAGCTACACATCATCCGCTCGCTTACATTGCGATGCATCTTTTCGTTCAACCGTAGCTGTTAATCTTTTCTTGGTAGAAAAAGGTAATGGATTCTCATTTTCCCACTGGGAAGCTATTCACACACGGTCGGCCAGGTATGTATCTACGTACATACATATATGTATGAGTGGGTGGCACTGGGTGACTTTCTGTTTTGGGGTGTATTTGGTTCGATGGTTTTGCTCGGCTCGATGGCAACGAGTTGGTCGAAATGTCGTTGCATGGAGGCAGTTTGAAAGTTTGAACGATTGGTTGTGCTCCCCAACTCGCCAGAAGTTGCAAAATTTTTGCCAGAACCTACCAGCAAGCGTGTTCGTACTCTGTTCTCTGGCAAATGATACGACTACATGACTCTCTTTCTTTGTCAGAAGTTGCAAGAATATAGCCGAAGAATTTTTGCTGGTAAAATCTGATGAAATGTCAAACCATCAACTGTTCTGTGTTGTCAAAGCAAATTGAATGTTGAGTAAAGAAAAAGCAAACGCACCCCTGCCTTTCCATCTTATTAAAGATCTCGGGAGGAAGAATTGTCAAACTTGGTAAGTATTTTTGTTTATTGCACCAAATGATAAAATATACATATATATTTTTACAGAACTACCAGATTTACTAAAATGCCCTTTTCATGCTTTTTGGTGTTTCCCTCTTTCTCTGTTTCAATTTAGCTTGGACGTTGGATGGCAAAATCATCTAGACGGCTTGGCTTGGCTAGTTGGAGCTAGCGTTTGGGGTTGTTGTTGGCTGCTTTCGCAACGTTGTTTTCTGTTTTTGTTTTTTACCGGCAAAATGCCATGACGAAAATTAACACACAACAAACCAACGGCAGAATATGACGGTTGGTGATGCTAACCGCCTCTCGGTGAGACGCACTACTTACAACACGAAATTCTACACATACGCCAACGTATTTACGATAAGCGAACTATGTGAATCGATTAATTACCAAAGGGAATAAGTCGGAATTTTTTCGATATAACACTGTTGATGCAGTTCGGCTCGTTTAAAGGATTTCTGTTGAACTGCATCACATTTCCATATCAGAAAAATGCGGACTTAATTAACCGATTCATGTAGTAGCGAGATATATGGACATACATACATACATATGTAAGTACATGCATTGTGCCAAATCAAGATTTGCGTCGTCTGGAAAGTTTTGCTTAGCAAAAGCATCCGCAAAGGAAGTCAGCCAGTGAGAAAAGTACAAAGTGCATATAAATTCGAAAATATGCGAGAACATAGTAGGGGTATTCTCTGAGTCTTGCAAAGCCCTTGCATGGTGCACAGATTGCACGGATTGCACGGTAAAAACCGGTTTTCGTATGGGACAGCTTTGCAAACCGTGCAACCCGTGCACCGTGCAAGGGCTTTGCAAGACTCAGAGAATACCCCTAGTATGTATATCAAGGTACGTATGTATATACATATGTACATATGTTTGGATTAATGTCTGTATGTATTTATTAATTTATATACAGTTTAAAGGAATTCCTTATTATTATTTTTTTTTGCTCTTAATGTCAACAATTTTATTGTAAGGCAGATCTGATGAGGCGACCTTTGGAGTGTTCGAGAGAAATATTCTGCGGCAGATTTATGGTGGCTTCTGTGGCGGCAAATACCAACGCACTGAACGAGCTTAACGACACAGCCGGATCTGTTATGCAAGTGCTCCAGCCCTAAAAGTATTCGATGCGCCAGCGGGTGACAGAGGAAGGGGAAGGCCTCCTTTCTGTTGGAAACATCAAATGGAAAGCTTCACTCGGTGTTTCTACGTAAAAACAACAACTGGCATTCTTTGTTGAACTCCTACTTAATCGGGTCTGGATCTGTTCGATAAACAAATATGGCATTCGATTTGGCAGCATAAGTTAAAATTAATTCAATGATGCCCCAAATAAGAAAATATTAGTTTCTCACGTTTGGTTAGTAAATTGCTTTATAAAAGCTCTTTATGTTAAATTTATTTCTCCAGGTTTAATGGTTTTGAATTTAAACAAAAAGTCACTCAGCTGCTGCTCATAAAATGTGCAAGCTTTTTCGATTTGTGATGTTAGTTTTCTGCTGGATAAATATTACTTGAAATCTTATCGAACAGAGCTATTATTGCTGTCAATTGTGTACGAAAATTATTTGAAAGTATCTGAAATGAAAGTTCCGAACTAGTTCTAAATTCGACAGATACGTTCGTTCTGCATCCCTTTTTCTATAGTTCCGAAGCAGTTCTAAATTCGTCACCTTAGATTAGATAGATTTCTAATGAAAAAAGTGAAACAAAATAGTTTTTTAAAAGCACCACATTTCGCTGATTTAGAACTGGTGGGGATCTAGTTAGTATCGGACTGGTTCGTTTTTGGCGATAAAGATCTAGTACGAAACTAGAAATTTGATTTACTAGTTCGCGGTTTTCCTGCAGGGATTTTTGTCGATGGATTTGCTGAGATAAAATACTAATAAAAGGTTTCAGACGGTCTAAAAAGACTAGTGTCTCGAGGCTCTTTCAGTTCGATTTCGTCACCTGACTTCCAAAAAGACGTAGGTAACTAACATCGCCACCGAAATGAACTTATGACTAATATTTTTTTTTTTTTATAAAACGATGTGGAGAGTTGTAATTCTATAAAATCCATCATAACAATCAAAAAGTCAATTTTGAATTTTTTATTAGTTACTACTTTTTCCATTTCAGCGGCGATGTTTGTTACGTCATTTTAGATTTCAGGTGACGATATGTACTTCAATGGGCAGTATCTCAGGTTTAAACAAAGATATCCGGTTAAGTGGAATAGCATTTTTAAAGGAAAATATTTCGCTTTCAAACAACTTATTCAATTTTCTAAAAACAAAAAAAAAATATTATTGATGAAAATACATTGCGAAAATAGTAAAAGATCGTGTTTTCCGCAACTTTGGGAGCGATTATCTCGAAAACCTGATTCCGTATTCAGATTCAGTTCATCAAAGTCCTTTGGAAAAGTATCAGCATTCATAGGGTCTGAAAAATGTCGGCCTGTGTCATCTTTGTTACAAAGTCAATTTTCGGTTTGACATTATGTATTCTCTTTATTTTATTTAAATTTAAACTTCTTTACTTGAACAAAATACATTTTTTATTTACCATTAAGGATCACAGTTGGCTCTAGGTACACTACGAGTACTATTTTATTTTCCATCAAATATTAGGTATTAGTTTGACCCTTTAAAACAATAGTGAAGTTCATGATTTGTAGCATTTTAAGAGTAAAGTAGAGAAAGATTGCTGGAAAGATTGCCACGTAGCTACTTTACACCTAAAATGCTACATAACGTGAACTCCCCTAATATGAAACAAATTTTGACTATTTTCTATACAAGAGATTATTAGTCGATTGATTATTTTCTTGAAAAAACAAAAAAAACAAAAAACGTTTAAGAATACGATTTCCACTCAACTTCTTATTGATTTTAATTGCCGTCATAATATACATACATTTTCGTACATTAAAGTAGTTTGACATTTGTGCCACTTTTACAGATTTAAATGTAGATACATATCTTCTCATTAAATAAAATTTAATTAATTGTATAACTTAAATACATAAACATGTAGATTAAACATATTACTTTAGAAACTTACCTCTCTTTATTTAACATTTATGTTTTTCAACAAGCAAAAATTATTGATACCAATTTCCAAATTGTTGCAATAAAACACTTTTCGATATAATATTCACCTGTTATAAATATGCTTTACTAACATCTACATATGTATGTAATTACACTACCACTTGATAAGAAAATAATTTTTTCCACACATTTTTTTTCGTGATTTCACTTAATTATATGTACAATGATGTATTTATGCTATTCCTTCGTAACACTCATTATTTTCGAAATACTTTGATAGTAAAGTTTTTTATTCTACTAATTTTAATTTTTTTTTTTATATTACTGATAATTTCTTCACTTTGTGATCAATAAATCACTTCACAAGCGTGTTGACATACTACATACATAATTTGTACATTTTTGTTTATATAGATGTATGTATGTACCTGCGTCGCAATTTTCTTTTTTTTTTTTTGAGATTTGATTAGGTTGGCAGGTTTCCCCAACGCCAGGTTATCCCTCTGCTTTAATAGATCTGTAGCAATGTTACACGAGAGTGCATCTAAGCACAATGTGTGTATACTGCGATTTGGTCGGAGATGTGTCCTTTAAAACGGTAGCAGATTTCTGCAATTGAATGTGTTATCGTTTGAATAATGATGGTTCCACAGTGAAGACGAAAGTGTGAGTTGGTTTATGCGGTTGAATGGCAGGTAATCAAACGTAGTAGATGATAACGATGGTTATGTGGGAGTAGACTTGATGATGTTGACGTTGCGTTTGTATGTTCGGTATATATAAGTATGATGGAATTTCGAAAGCAGGGTTTGTTGGTGTAACAGTTGGGTTGTGTTAGGGATGGGGAGGGTTTTGAGTGAGGTGGACGGTATTGACACCTGTGGAGCTATGTATGCTTCAAAATTTAGCTTCAGCTTTTGTCAGAAAATTCGCCAGTTGAGTGATTTTACGATAGTCTAAGCCGCGAAAAATCTCTGTAAAATCTGTGCAGTTGTGGACGACTTCGAAGCCCTCCCGAACATTTGCAAGTAAGCTGCAGTGGAACGTCTGATGTACATAATTATCAGTAGCGCCACAGCTGCAAGTATTGGAGCTTATTACATTTATGCGATGCAGATATTCATTATCATAGGTGTAGCCGGTTAGTATTCTATTTAAAATTTTAATTCCTTTTGGAATTAGTTTGAATTTGTAGAACCAAGTCTTTTGTGGCTTCTGTGTAAAAATTTGCGCGAATAGGTTGTGTTTGGTGTGGGAGAAGTTGATAAAATCGTTATACCATCGGTTATGGATATGATTGCGGATGTTTCTTAGAGCCTCATCTATGGTAAACTTCACATTTAAATTATTATCACAGTTAACGGCTGTTTTTGCCAGAGAATCAGCCTTTTCATTGCCTGGAATGCCAACATGACTGGGCGTCCAGATGACGGTAACATTAAAAAAATCAGAATTTTGGATTAATTTGTGTATTTCAAAGATATAGTAGTTCTGAGTGTTGTTTTTTGCCAGTAATTTGCAGGCGATAAGGCTGTCGGTAAAAATTACGATCTTATTATAGTCTGATTCTCTGGCCAGTTGAAGCGCGTTGAGAATGGCTATGGTTTCGCCATAGGTAGATGAGGCACTAAAATTGATTTTAAAAGTATGTTCTTCTTTGTTAGTGTAGTTGTAGACTCCACACCCAGTGGTCGTAGGGCCTACAGAAGCGTCAGTGAAAAAGATGCAGAAATTAGAGTTTCTGTAGTCATTTACCATCGCCGCGTAAGTCGATTTTATCTCGTCAGTAGTTACATTAGTTTTTTTTCCAGTTAGCGTTCTGGTGATAATATGTAGATTAGGGGCGGTGGCTGATTCTCTTACAATGCAAAGGTTATCAAAGACATTCCTAAATTCATTAAAGACCGCACTATAACTAGAATTCACATTGGATGAGTTGTACATATGTTCACTGAACTCTTCGTCAACAATGAAATTGTTGACTAGTTCTTTGGCTGTTAGCCATTTAGCTCTTTCTGCCGGTGGCAATTCGTTTGCAGTCGCGTAAATTATGGGGATAGGGGTTGCTGGGGTGAGGCCGAGGCTTCTCCTTAGAAAACTATTTTGGTAGGTTTGAATCTTCTTATTGACGGTTTTAGGGCAATTTGAAGTGGACGTGCGACAATATTCAATCTTACTCCGTACCACTGATTTATAGTAGTTCAGAGCGATTTGTGGATGTAGTCCAGACTTAACTGTGGTAAGGCATTTAAAAAGATTAGAGTTATTCTGTGATTTTTTAATTACTTCTGTATAGTGTTCTTGGACCGAAAGTGATGAACTGATGTTCCTACCTAGAAATTTAATAGAATGCACCTGCTCAATAACTTGATTTAGGTATTGGATCTCGATAGATGTACGTTTGCCCTTACATAGATGCATAACTTTGGTTTTGTCAGCATTGAAGGAGAGGTTTAGATCCGAACATAGTTGCGCAAAGTCATTTAGTTTGTGCTTCAAATTTGCAGTGGCTTGCTCAAGGCTGTTATGGAACGACATGATTAAGAAATCGTCCGCAAACTGGTACAATTTGGTGTTGCCATCCTGGATGGAATGTAGATCTTTTGTATATAAGTTGAAGAGACAAGGCGAGAGACAACTACCTTGTGGAAGTCCATCGTGTATTTCAATAGAATCTTTGCCAAGTTGTAGCTTTCTATGAGCTAAGAAGTTGATTATCCATTCCGTATAAGCATTGTGCAAGCCAGCTTGGGTCATGACTACTTTTAGTTTACTAATGTTAACGCAGTTATACGCGTTGCTGATGTCAGAGGCACAAACAATGACCTTACGACTCTGTTTTTTAAGAGCTGCAGCTTCATGTAAAATATAGTTGACGCATATGGTGGCTGACCTGTGCTTCCTATATGCAAAAGAGTGTTTAGGTAACGTGTTATTGTCTTCAAGAAAGTTGGAAATTCTATCTTTGATACATAGGTTAATGGATTTTAAAAATACAGAAATTAAGGCAATGGGCCTGAAGTTAGAGTAGTCATTTAGATCTTTATCCTTTTTGGGGATTGGTACTATTTTTATCACACGCCACTTATCAGGAATTTGGTTGGTTAGAAAAAACATCGTTTAGAGCAGTTCGCACATTATTGAGAGATTCATCAGGTAGAGCTTTTAGCATTTTATATGTGACTTGATCGACGCCACCGGCTGAGCTTCTATTTTTAGAGTGTAATACTTGGTATAATTCGTCAAAAGTTATCGCTAGTCTATTTGCAGGGATAAGTTCTTCGTTGATTGGTAAAGGGGTATTTCGAACAGGTACTTGATTTTTTAATAAATTTAGAAAGTCTTTGTTGTTGTCACTTGACCAAGGTGAGTTATTGGAACCTTTGTAATCGCCCCTTAGAGCTTTTACAAATTTCCAAGCATTCTTTGTAGTGGGGGCCTCATTTAGTTCGCTTATTTTATTTTCAAAATTTTTCTTTTTTGCTTCTTTTACTTGGTTTTTCCACTTTTTCTTGATTTCAGTTAAATCCAGAAAGTTTTGCGGTGAGGGTGATAATTTGCATTTTTTGTATGCTGCTTTGAGAAAGCGGAAGGCTTTGTCAAGCTCGTCAGTCCACCAGGCTTTTGGACTTCTATTTGGGCTGAGAGTGTATGTGGCTGCTTCAATTTCAGTTTGGAGTTGCGAGTGTATGTCGTAAAAATTTGGTTCAAGAATGGTTTTCTGTAAACTATCAAGTAGTTTTTTTTGAGCCAGGAACCTATGTCCTTCGTGGGTGACCATAGTGGTTTCTATAGAGATAGGGAAATGATGACTTCCACCCAACCGAGTGGGGTCAGTCTTCCACTCAAAAGGGATCGAGCTATTTGTGAATGACAGGTCAAGCACTGACCCATTGGGAGACAAGGTATCATTTTTAAAAGTAATTGAGCCATCATTCAAGTGCCAAAAATTGTATTCAGATGTTATTCTGTACAGATTGTTGCCTCTACAGGATTGAGTTTGGTCACCCCACACTCTCGCCCTGGCATTAAAGTCGCCGAGTAGTAGGACATTTTCTTGGTGTTCTAAAAATGAAAGGAGCCTGGTTATTTCGTTTTTGAAGTCATTAGTGAGTACGCTTGGGGGAAAGTAAACCGCACAAATTACAAGATTTGGCTTTAGATTTTTAGTTTTAATAATTAAGACATCAGCATCAGTTATGTAGTTAATTTTGTGAAATTTAATTTGTTTTTTTCAGAGCTATGGCGACGCCGCCATAGCCATCAACTCTATTTTTCTCTATTATATTATAATTTATAATATTCCTATGTTGTGGTTCGTTACAAGTGAAAATTTCGCTTAGACATACAAGATCGTAATCGTAATGGTTTAAATAGTACTCTATGGTGTTTATATTGGATTTTAAGGACTGGCAGTTGTATTGCAATATCTTCATTACTTTATGCATGGGCCAGGGGATTAGTTCCCCTGTTTATCGCATGTAAATCTTCCTGGATCATAACCTCATCAAATTTTTGCTTAACGTTTTGTACCTCCCCTAGAACATCGCCAAAGTGCTCACCAGCACAGGCCTTCTGAATGATTTTGAATAATTCAGTGATAAGCTTTTCCATTTCAGTAACTTTCCCTTTAAGGTATTCTGGTTTATTAAGAACAGACTCTCTGGGTGCTCTAACCCTGTTTTCCCTACTGGCTGCTTGTTCTGCTGGTGCCTTGATAGTTTGCATTGTTTTTCGTACAATTGTACTGTATTTTGCTCGTGTAAGTTTTTTGTTAACATTCGAATCCCTATTTTTAAGATTCTCTTCCTTTTCAGAAATCTTCGGGAAATCTAAGTCCTCAGTAGCGAGTAAGTCAAACCGGTTTTGGCTCTCGGAGAAATAGGTTTTTATTGTTTCACGCCTGGACAGTTTTTTAACTGTTCTTATGTGGTTGATTGAACGTTCTCTTTCCCATGCCGAGCAGGTGAGCTTGTCAGTAGAAACATGCTCTAAGCTGCCGCATAGAATGCATTTTTTATCACATGAGTTAATATCACGGTAACAAGGCCACATTTGATGCAACGTTTTTTTGACTTGCAGGAAAACTGAGTATGTCCTAGCCTACCGCAGTTTAAGCACTGCCTTAGGGGTGGGACGTAGAAATCCACGTAAAGTTTGGTATAATTGAGTATAATGAACTCAGGTATTTCTTTTCCGGAGAATCCAATTTTGACAGTGGTTGTGGGAGTAAAGGATTCGTTATCCTGGTTTCTACGCGTGAAGCGCCTGACTGTGGTAATAGGTACGCTAGAGATGGCATCGGCCTTGATCTCCGCTTCCTCACACCATGTCGGAATGCCCCTCACTACACCGTATGTTTCTACTGCCGTTTTAGGTACAAAAGCTCTGAGACCAATAGATTTTATTTTATCATTGAGGACGAAATTGTTGGCTGCAGCCGCGTTTTTAAAGGTAACCTTATATAGACTTTTGCCAATAGCAAAAATCAGGTCAATATCTTTAATTCTAAAATTTTTAATTTTGTTAAAAAGTGTAAGACCGTTTGTGATTCTATCGGTTATCATGTCGTTACATTGGGATGAGTCAACTAAGACAATGTAAACGCCGGAAAAATTGTGGGGATACAAAGTAATGTCTGAATTTGAGTTTGAGTGAGCATCTTTTGCAGTCACTGTACTTGCTTGCTGTCCGTTATCCGTAGCCAAAAGCGGGCTATCGGTACTCGTCGTTGTCCCGTTACCTTCTTGTATATCTATACTCATTTCATTTTCACTTGGTTTCTCCACGTTTTTTCCCTTACCGGTTACACCCATGTCAAGACTAGTTCTTGCCATGTCATGAGCCTTTAGCATTTTTGCTATTCTAATTTCTTTTTCTTTTTTTAGGCGCTTGCCTCTAACTAAATTGTTGCTCGCGAAAGCTTCGAAGTCATCTGCCGATGACGTCCTCGTTAGTGAGGACGCCATAGCGGCTTTGTGTTTTTTTCCTGCCGTAGAGGGCAGGCTTGATTTTTATTAAGTCAAAAAAGTTAAAACAAAAGCACAAGAGATTTCGCAACCCCACACTAAAGTCACAATCACTCACCTGAACCTTGGGTGCTCCCACACAATTCCGGTGAATTAAAAATTTTTCACAGATTTGTCCACAAAAGTACGCTGTGACGCCAAAAGCGAAGCACCGTCTGTACTTAAAAGCGTCAGCCTTGAAAAAGGCTATAGTTTTTAGGTTTTTTCTTATCCACTTAAATCAAAATGGTGATTTTACAAAGCACATACACATGTGCCGTTGCGCCAAAAAGCAAAGTAGTTAATATTATGCGCCGAAACACGTCCACCAACACTCGTTGCTAACGAAGGAATGTGTCGCAATTTTCTTGCAGAAATTTTTTACACGCACTTCCTCAATTGCATGGATGCATGTTTGTTCGTCTGTATGTATGCACATATATGCAGATGAATTTTCGCTAGACGCAATTCAATTACTTTAACGATTCGTTATTGTTTTGCTCGATACACTTGCCTCACTTGAAACACTTCATTTTTCTTTCGTACGCTTGATTTAAACACAAATTTATCAGTATTCCATAGTTGTTTACACTTTATAATCAATTACAAATTAATATCCATTATCACTTTTAATCTCAGTTAAATACACAATATGCAATTGTAAATTTCTTTATACAATTATTGACACTGAACAACTTCCGTCATCAACACCGCACACGAAAACTGCAACACACGAAATGACGCGTAGAGAAGTTGCATTATTTAGCGGAAGTGAGTGGAGCCGGCATCAATGTAACTGTTATACACTTCGGACATGTATGTATTCGGACATGTATGAGCGCGATAAATATAGTATTCAGTGTGCGGACTGTCAATTTTTTATTAGTGGTAGATAAGCCTTAAATATTGTGGTAGATTCCAAAACAAAGTGGTAGATTTACATATATGTACATTTTTATGTATGCATTAGGGAGAGTCAATTTGTATGGGAAATTCTTTCGATTATGCGCGTATAGCACAGAAGAATTCTATGTGTAATGCCAAAGAAACCATGGGTCTAAAATAGATTTGTAGTTTTCCACATGTCGAAAATAGGAAAATAACATAAAATCAATTAAATTGAAATACAACAAAATAAATCGACATAAATTCAAGTTAATTGAAATAAATTCAAATGAAATAAACCGAAATAAAATACGAAAAATTCAAGAAAATTTAAATAAAGTCAAATAAATTTATGTGTATGAAATAAAATAAATTGAAAATAAATTCAAACATATTGAAATACGTATGTAAATTCAAATGAAATATAATAAATAAATTGTAATAAAATACGATAAATTCAAGTAATTTCAAATAAATTCGAATGAAATAAATTAAAATAAAATTAAAAAATTAAAATTAATTAAAAAAACGAGAATTTCAAGGAAATTTAAATAAATTCAAAATAAATTCGTCGCTGTTACGTATGTGGTGTGGCCACTAAAAAACTCCCTCTCCCAGGAGTCTTCGCTACCCTTACCCTGGCAGCGCTTTCGCATTGCTTCGGGGTAGAGGTCCAGAGGTCTTTTCAGACTCTTCTACTCTACTGCGTTCAAGACCGCCACTTGTAGCTCACTATGCGTTTCTAGCCTCCCTTTTTACACTCTCAAGATATTTTCTGTGTACGTTGCGGTGTCATTCCAGTTTTCTTCGCAGCTCGTCATTTTTTTTACCATCTTCTCTGCGGTGGTTTTGCCTATTTGTCGCTCAAGCGCATCCGTTTCTCTTTGCCATCTTCGGCATTTGGAGTATGTGTGTTCTGCGTCGTCTAGCTCGGCATCATAGAAACAGCTCGGGCTCTCTGCCTTGCCCATCTGATGGAGATATTTCAGGAAGTATCCGTGGTAATTCCTACTTAATTTTGCCTTTTTTACCCGCTAGATCTATGGGTAGGATTCCGCTTATTACTTAAATCGCTGGTTTAGATACGGTACGGTAAGATGATGCCACTCTAAGAGCAGCTGTGCGCTGTACCGAAGATAGTATTCACCTTCTTTTTTCTATTGCCAGTGCGTCTGCCTAGATTTCGCTGTCATAGAGAAGGATTGACGTGATTATGTCCATTAGTAGTTTTCTCTTGCTCTGTTTTGGTCCTCCAATATTTGCCATCGATGCTGCCACTAGTTGTGCTTTCTTCTTCTGCGTGCTGTATTTGTGCCCAATATGTCAGCTTGGGGTCCAATATTAGGCCTAGATACTTAACAGATTTCTTGGAGAGAGTTACTGTGTCACCATTTCAACTTCAACAGGGATGTGTCTTCGTATTAGCAGGAGTATTTCTGCCTTTCGGTGGCTAGCGGTAGACCATGGTTATCTAGCCAATCTTTGGTGCGTAGCATGACTTGGTTGAGTTTTCTTTGTGCTTCTATAGTGTGCCTGGCCTTGATTACCGGCGCGGCATCATCTGTGAAAGCTACTAGATGAGTATCGTCTGGCATGTCTATTTCTAGGATTCCGTCGTAATTTGTGTTTAAAAGGTCGGGGCACAATATAGAGCCTTGCGCTGCCCCCGAAGTTATCGCCTTTGTCATGACTCCATCCATAGAGGAGCATGCGGTCACTCAAGTAACTGCGTATCAACTGGCTGTGTACGTGATAGAGGGACTCTACGGTCTCGATTATTTCTGTCCATCTAACGCTATTAAAGGCGTTTCTCCTGTTTAGTGTTGCCGGGAGGACTATTTCCCGAGAGTCCCAAGTTTCTGCACGACTATTTTGTACCCTAGACCCCAAAGGTTCCGAGGTTCAGAGGTTTTCGCTTTGCTTTGCCGAATTGCCTTTTTCAAGTCTGTTTTAGCTGTCTTGCACTCTTCCATTGTGTCTGTTGTAACTCCTCTGTGTCTTTCTCTAGTAAGCTTCCTCCTTTTCTGGAGACACGAGTAGTCGAAGAGCAGCTATTTCCTACGTCCACCAGTATACCGCTTTTTTCTTGAATGGTTTAGCTTTTGGCATGGATGCATTGCAGGCTTTGACAATATTTGTCATAGTTTTGTTTACAAGGGTTTTGGCATCGATGTCTTGATCTGATAGGTTAGTTTTGCAGATGTTGTAGAATAACTTTTCTGAGTTTAATTTGGAAGTCATCCACTTCCTAGTACTTTTATTTCCTAAGGAGCCTGGCCGATTTCCTTGCTCTATGTCGAAACGTATGTATTGGTGGTCGCTGACGGTAAATTCTTCCAGTACGTTCCAGTTCTTCACTTCTCTTATTAATCCTTCGGAGACCAGAGTAATGTCCGCGATGGTACCTACGCAGCCTATTCTTCTAAATGTTGGAGTATTTCCCCTGTTTGCTACAACCAGTCTAAGCCGGGCTGCTGTATCTAGGATTCGTCTTCCTCTACCGCTTTCGGATTAATGTTTCCGCCGATCTCTATGGCTTCATCTTCTATGAGGTCTAACTTTCTTTGAGAAATGTCAGTGCGGTAGTTTGGTGTTAGCTAGCAACTCATGAGTGTGTATTGGTTATTTTTTATCCACACAAAGGATTCTCCCGATCCCTTTATTAAAACTGTGTGGTTGCTTATGTTTGGTAACCACAGAGCCGCTGTGCGGGTGCTGTCCTCCAGCCAAGCTCCATCGTTTCGTTGTTTGTATTGTATTCGTGTCATTTGGCATATTTGTTTTCTGTATGTCATGCACTTGTTTGTTCCAGGTATATGATCAACTGTGTTTTCTCCGGTTTTAGACAAAGACAGCACCTCGGTTTATTTCGGCATTCTTTTATGCTATGGTTTGCTTCACCACAGCGAATTCATAGGCCTTTAGCTCTTCTATCTTTGCCATTACAGTTGTACTGCATGTGGCCTAATCCGAAGCATTTGACGAATGTGCGCATTTGTTCTCGGCTATTTGGCTTCGTGAGGGTAACGCTCATAGTTCCGGTGTCTGGGGCAATTTTCTTTAGTGCTACTTTTATTTCTTTTCGGGTTGTAAAGGCGTCTAAGTCTGGCCACTCTATCGTTGACTTTTCTTTGAGTCCTTCCACCTCTGCTGAGTCGCTGACCTCAGTTTTCAGTTTCATGCAAAACTGGTCTCCGACTTAAGGACCTTTTTCTAGTTCAAGTACGATAGCGCCCGTCTTTGTTTTCCGGATTTTCCGCACGCCTACTCCATCGTCCGGGTTCATTTTGCTACGTAGGGTTTTTAGTTCGCCAGCGTAGCTATGTCCTTCTGCTGGTTTAATCATTATCGCGTCTGGACAAAACCTACTACTCCTAAAATATAGCTAGCTTTGAGTTTTTTGAAATTACCGTTACGTTGGTGGAGTCCGCTGTTTTTGCCCGATTTAAAAATATTCAAGATGGTACACACATATAAATTCAAGGCCGTTTTTGCGAAAAGTCGCCTAAATTCGACAATTTTTATGCGATTACAATAAATGAGGTCTAATTTTTTTGAAAATAGATTTAATTTTTGATAGTACTACATATTTTGAAATTGTAGAAATTATCGATGGTCAAAATTTATAAAATTAAGAGAAATATGGTTCTTGTTTTATTTTGCCCTATAAAAAATCTTAACAATCCAAGTCCGACAATAGATTATTATATACCATTTTGAAGGCCTATATATCCGATCATATTCGATCATTGAAATTGAATCAAAAATAGTTATTCAAAAACTCATAAATCCTCAAAATCGTATTTTCTCACTTAAATCGACAAGTCGCGACCTCTAAATGACCTTTAAAAAATCTATAAAAATAGGCAATAATATTTCTCATAAAATAGAATAAAATTAGGGGATAGGGTCTTGAAATTAAAAAAAAAGCATTTCCGATGGGCGCCCTAGTACAGAGCCTCAGCAAGGTCCTCAAGTCGCTAGCCGGCAGTACTTGGGGCAACTACAAAGAAACGTTGCTGGCAACATACAAGGCAATTGGTCGGCCGGTTCTAAATAACGCAGCACCAGTGTGGTCGCCGGGGACTAGTGGGACGCTACTGGATGTCTTCTGATGTCGCCAGAACACCACCTGAATGACGAGGCGATAATGCTCCGCCTAAAGGAGCACAACACAATGCTCTGCAAGCAATTCTTAGAAGCCAGTCACAGACGTGGGCACCCGGACAGACACTTGCTTGCAGAGGAGCCCTCGCCAAGGCACATCAGAAGGCATCTATACGAACTGACGGACGAAGTCCAGAGGTCCATAAAGCAACCTCTGGTCAGTCTCGAGTTATGAAAACTCCAGACCTGTGAATGCCGTTCTAGGCACACAACCACCTGACATCGACGAGACGGAACTTCGTCTGCCTCGGGAGACTAGAACCACAATAGCCCAACTTCGCTCTGGCTACTGTAGCAGGTTAAACTCATAACTGACCAGATTAGATGCAGATGTGCCGAATGAATGTCCGGCATGCGGAGACACCCCACGACTCGAAACATCTCTTCGTATGTCCGGACAACCCCACACAACTAACGCCTCTGTCCCCGCCGACAGACCCTATAGAAGCTGCAAGCTTTTTGGGTCTTCCGTTAGTTGAGCTTGACGACAATGACTGAGATACTAAGCGATCCGGGCGGGGTTGTTGTAGCCGCTACAACAACAACAACCTATCGGAAATTCGTTTCAAAATATTCGTTTTTCAATTTTTCCTAATAAACAATCGTGGTACAAAGCTCAATAAAAATATTAAAAATAAAATCATCTCCCTTTTCTGCATTGTGAAATTTAATCTATATTTTTATCACGTCTCTGAAAATACGAATTATTTTTTAGTTGAGTCTTCTAGTAATTGTGAACGTTTTTAGTATATAAATATACTGTGTACCTGTTTGGCCAAACATAACATCTTATATAGTGTGTACATTGTTGCAAGCCGGAATTTCCTTTAAATTAACCCAAAATTATTTAAGCATTTTACATGTTGCAGTTTATTAAAATATTTCAATACACAATCATATTTAACAGATACGGTTACACGCTCCCAAAATTTCAAGCTTTTACAAAGAATTCAAATAGTTGTAAACAATATAGAAGTTTAGGTTTACTCATATACATATGTTAAAAGGTTTCAAGGAATGGCGAAAGCGAAAGTTGGCTTACATATACATAATTGTATAGAGTTCGTTAAAACTGTAATCTGTTGAATTGCATTTAACTATTGACATTTATATACTTTTGTTTTTCAAAACGACGTGTATTTAATAAAGTAATATTTTAGAATCTAGGCACCTAATCTAACTCTCAGAGGGTACACAACTAATATAATTAGTCGAATGCTTACGTACATAAATAAACATTACCCACATATAAACATTAATAAATGATTTTTTTTTTTAATTACATATGTCCATTTACAACGCCTTCCACAGACGTCTTATTGTGTGTTTCAAGTAACAATGACTTTACCAGGTCGGTGGTGAACTTTTCAACCAAATGCAATGCATCGCATTGATTCATTTCTATCAATGATGAAGTTAAAAACTGCCCAAATGCTCTGAATTTGCAAAAGTTTGGATTGGGATTAAAGTTGAGATCTTCTTCTTTGTCAGGAGTTGTTGGTTGCATTTCATTATAGTTGATATTTCGATTTTGTTGGTTAGAATTGTTAGGCAAATCCGAAGCTAGCTGTCTCTCTGGTGCCGCGGCAGCAACTGGCGGGCATCTACAAATTTAGATAAAATATAGATAAATTTTATGTTTTGTTCCTAGATGAATATGTACTAGGTAGCTTACGGTGGATATTGATTTGATTCATCACAGCCATCAGAATCACTGCAATATGCAAAGCGCACAGGTCTTATGTTTTGAATTATTTAAAGCCGTACAAATAAATACAACATTTAAATGCTCACCTTGAATTTGAGAACGGCGCTGATTTCGGTCTTACAACTACTTCTTTCGTAAACGACCGACGGGCTTTTATGTGACCGCCTAAATATGTCAAATAGTTATACATTGGCCATTGGGATGTGATACTTGGGTCGTTGTATTGATCTTGCAACATCTCCACTCTTCGTTTCTCCAGATTATAACGATTTCGTAGCTGCACCATACGATTTTTTACAATAGCAACTGTTGAAATTAATAAATACTATTGTTTAAAAGGCTACGTTTCATTAAAGGCTTTATATCGCAATAACTCGTATTTTTTTAACTAATTGCATTTGTAAATATTTTCTCTATCATAAAAATAATTTACGTATATAGATATGAATGCATATGAATCGAACTCATTCAGGGCAAGTAACTCACCATTTTGCCCCACACTCTCGGCCATGTCCATCCACATGCCGTCCAGATAATCTCTATTTCTATATTGGGGATGTGTCCGGTCATAGAAGGCTGGTCGTTGCTGGAATTCACGTGCAAGCATTACATCAAGATCATCAAGTGCTGGTCCTTCACCGCGACGTGGGCGTCCACGCTTTCGCCTGCCCGTCATGATAAAATAATTTTATGCAGACACAAAACTAAGAAAATCAAAATGTTCCGTTTTGTATTTTAATCTGCGTTTCTTTGTCTCTCTTATGTATAGACAAAATGTTTATTTTAACGTAATTGTTCTCTTTCGCTTATTTTGCCCCAAATTTAGATTGATTTTTATATTTATATTTTTTTTTCATACGCACTTTCTAGTGTGGAGTTTTGATAATTTTTCTACAAATTATCGCTTGTTAAAACGAAAAAAC